ATATATATATATATAAATTCAGTATTAATCTGTGCTATATTAATTCAGTACTATTATTATTATTATTTGGCAGGTTATAGAGCTTAAAGTGAGAATGTGTTGCGAAGGCTGCGAGAGGGTTGTCAAGCATTCCCTGCACAAGCTCAGAGGTACTCTACTTGGGGAAAATTTATCGGACAAATAATTATTAAATTTACTTTATCATTTAATTAATTATTTAAGAGTTGCTCATTTTAAAATAAAATGAACTTATTTAATAGTTATCTTAATTAAGTTCTGATCACCATAATTGATCAAAGTTTTTTTTTTTCCATTTTAATTATTTTAATTATTTCATTTAGTTATTTTGATCATTTATTTGTTTTAATAATTTATTAATAAGAGAATATTTATTTATATATAATTTTTATGTATTTATGTACATATATTTTTTATTAAAATTAATTTATTTTATAATCTTCATTAAAACTTCAGTCTAGTCCTTCATAAAATATCTTCAAGAGTTTGCAAGCAAATGAGGAAAATCAAGATGAGGAGTAGAGGTGTGGGAAGGAGCTCTTTTAGCCCTTTGCATGTATAATTAGAGAAGATATTTTTCGTTTTAGTACATTAAATTAATTACATTTGTCTATGTTTTCATTATACATTCCTTATTTCTATATTTCCCTTTGAAAATCATAACAAAAAAATAACATGAATATTATATAGCTATGACTAACAATTATAAAATTAAAATGATCAAAATAAATAAATGAGATTCACAACTTTATTATAAAATATTTATAAATAACAAGAAAATTAAATTAAATTATACATAAATACATAATAATAATAATAATAATAATAATAATAATAATAATATATAATATTTTTTAACTAAAATGTAAATAATATTAAATTATCAATATAAATACATTATGAAAATATATAAATCAAATTCAAAAAATTATTATAAAACATTTATGAATTCCGACAATAAGAATTATTAAGAAGATGATAAAATAAATTAATTTATATATATATATAAATATATATATACATACATAAATACATATATGCATGCATACATACATACAAACATAAAAAATAATACTAATAAAATTTATTTTAAAAATTATTTACATTGCAAGAACATAAACTAAGACCATCCATCTATCACTGAAAAACAAAGGCGTGGACTCGGTGGAGGTGAACTTACCACTAGGGAAGGTGACGGTGACCGGCTACATAGACCGCAACAAGGTACTGAAACAAGTGCGGCGGAGCGGGAAGAAGGTGGAGTTCTGGCCCAACCCCGACCTCCCCCTCTTCTTCACCAACGCCACCAATTACTTCCACGACGAACAATCTTACCGCGACAGCTACAACTACTGGCGCCATGGCTACAACAACAGCGACAAGCACGGCAACCTTCCGGTCAACCGCCGCGGCGAGGATCCGGTCAGCAACCTCTTCAACGACGACGATGTCAACGCCTGTTCCATCATGTGATGGTCGAGCCGAGACCATCTGATTGGGGATGGAGGGCTCAGATGGGTTCCAATTGTGTATAGTCAACGCAGGGTTGGTGTGCTTGGAGTAAGTTGATGTATATAGTTGTGTGACTTGTGCGTTTATATGTTTGTGTAAATTTAAATGTTTATATTTGTGGCTGTTTGGATTTGTATGTAATTGCATATGGACTACTTTGATTTTTATAAATTAATGATTCGAGTGATTTTTTTAAAGTATCGAATTAATGTGTTTACACGTGCTGCCACGATCAAATTATTGAGAATTTGATAAAAATGAAAAATTTGAGTTGGGTTTTAACATGAATTTAAACATTTGAGTGAGAATTTGAAAAAAAAAAGATGAAAGAGGAGGGTTGATTTGTAAATTAATTTAGAATTTTTAGAATTTTTTAGGATTTTTTAGGCGTTGGAAACTAGAGCCGGGGCGCTAGGGTCTAGGACCTACTTTTCAACTTTTTGGTTTTGTATCTCGGGCTATCTTGGGCGTCCGCATGATGTTGGTTTGAACGCCAATGGGCGTCCCGGACCCCTGCTCGGTTAAGTTGGTTTAAACCTCAAATTTCCCAAAATCTGCGTGGGAGGGTTTTATGACTTCGCCCAGCCATGAGAGGCTCTGAATGGAGGGATAATAGCCTTTAAACATTAAAATGGATATTAGATGTGTCCCGTGCCTGGATGGATCCCGGTTCCATGCTCCAGACATGAATCAGGCGGCTCGAACGCATTGCTTGGATTACAGGAGACTGTAAGAGAGTAAAACTCAGTCTCATAACATTCAAATGGATATTCCACACCTATGACAACAAATGTAATGCCAACAATATTATTGCATTGAGCCCTCCATAATTTTATTGTTTATAAAGGCATTCACTTCACTCATTCTTCCTAAAAGGGTCTACCCATCTTGTCATTGTCAAATAATGACATAAAAAATTGGCAACCTCTTTTTACATTTCACTTATTAAAAATTTGTTGGATTAAACACATCAATGCGTGTTATCACGAGTCTTTGTGTGGTTGTTTTAACTTGTCGTGGGGTCTTATCTATTTACTTGAGACAATTAATGCCTTATTAAAAGCTGATAGATTGGAGGATTATTTTGTAATATTTTTTATTGAAAATCATTAACACTAAGAGTCCTCCGTAAGGGTCCATAAATGTTTGCCCCTTGTTAAACTTTAGACTAAATACCTTATTACTTCGGCTTGGATTTCATTTCCATGGCTAAAACCTCTTATTTTGATAAAGTTGTTTTGTTTATGTTAGCTTCATTATTTGTGAAAAAGATTCAAGATTTTTTACCTACTACTACTCATTATAGATCTTTCATTGTAAGGGTTTGGATGGAATTCGATGCACTTAGAGTTTCTCTAAATGAATTGATTGATAGGGAGTGTGGTTGTAATCAAATAATGATTCATGAAAAGATTTCTATAACTTGTACAATTTTAAAATTATTCGGGCATTGCCAACTTTGATTGTGGATATAATAATGATCACATGTATGGCAATATCGATGATATAAATACATCTTCCATGGTGACATTAAAGCTTATCCCTCTAGGGATTCTTACAATTGTGATGTATTTTATGCTTTATTCTTTGCACTAAGCTAGTTTTCTATTTTACGATTCTAATTGACTGTTGTAAGAAGTAACATGATCAATTTGATTCGGAGATCCTTAGTCAGATTAGCTTTTGTAGATTATGAGCTACCTATTGTTCCAAATCCAAGTGATAATCTTATAAGGGCCATTTTGATTGGAGGTTATTCTTCCTCTTTCATTCTTTCTTTTTTTCTTTGAATTTTCACTCAAATTTTAAAATTCATGATAAAACCCCAACCCATATGTTACATTTTTATTAAATTCTCAATAGTTTGAATGTAACACGTGTAAATACAATGGTTTGGTAGTTCTGAAAAATCACATGGATAGTTAATTTATAAACTTTGGGTGGTCAATATTTAATTATCCCAACTTTTTTTTTATCTAATAACTTCTTTTTCTATTGTTTTGCTTCATTTGTGATTAATGCTCTCACTTTAATATTTTAATTTCAACATATTTTTAGTTTAAGTGATTTAAATATTATCTCTTTGCTTTAAAAAAGATATAACATCTCCCCGACAATATCCATTTTCTCCTATTCATAGGCGGAGAAAACTAAAACAATCACATATGCAAATGATCTATCCTCAAAACTTATTATTAATTTGCTTACCTTGGACTAATAAACTTGCATACCCAATTTTTATATGGTACCTCACAAGGTACGCGGGATTGTGATAAAACAAAAAAGTTCACTTTTTGAAAAAAATTATGATTATTCTCTAAATCAAAATGAACGTGATACATTTTAATTTGGACAAAAACAAAATTAAATTTTAATTCAGAGAAATCAAAAACAAAATTAGAATTCTAGATATTAGCCACAAAATCACTATTAGTGGTCGCAACATAGGCTCCTCCACTGATGTTAGAGACCGTTAGACATAAAATAGCAATCGTACCTTTATCTTCAGTTTTATTGTATAAAAATATAGATACTAAAATACAACCATTTATTAGGGCATTGCTTCTCTTTAGACATCTTTTCTTCTTCCTGCTTCAGCTATCATGGTATCTAAGCGTACCTGAGCTTCTCAAAAAGAAGCACCTGAGCTCTCAGACTTTCTCCTAGTAAAAATTCCTATTTGCATCTTTGTTACCCCATGCTCTCCCCCTCACCCGATTCAGCGACAATGTGTCAACAGGCACAATGAATCCCCAATTCAAACTATGAAAACTTATTGACAAAAATCTTTCGACATCTCTGTATTCCAAAAACTTACTAACTGTTCTTCCGCAAATCCTTCATCTTCAGACCACAATAGAAATTTGGGTAATCTTGGAACGCCAAATGCATCTAACAAACTGATCTTGTGTAATCCAATTGAAAAACAAACTACATAACATCTCAATGAATGATCTCACCATGCCACAATACCTAATGGAAATCAG